TTGCTGTAGTTAGCTCGGTCTCAACGGACTCAACCGAGGTACTAGTGAATAGGAACCGAGCTATGAGCTGCATGTGAAGGTGCTGGTTTGGGTATGATAGAGGTATTGTTAGCTTGGTTACGTTGTCATACTACCGAGGTAAAACCATCTCACTTGGTTTAAGCAGTGAGTGGGGTGTTGAAAGATAAGTATTATCTTTCCGCAGTGTGATTCCTAGGAGGACTCTATATGGAGGAATAAAAGTCCTACTATGATTGTGTCACGCGGAACCTATAAAAACTCATAACAGAACCTATGGAAGAGGTAACACAACTTTGATTCTCGAATACGCAGAGCTTTTGTCTATTTGCCTATTTTGCTGACTTAGAGATCGGAGAAGTATCCGGCACACACCCGCTGGCTAGCTTACGTTTGTGTTTTCAGGGAGTCAAGCGGCGACGTTTGGAGGAGTGCAAGCTTGATCAACATGATCATACGAAAAGAATTATTTCGCGCTCGTACAGACTTAAATATCTATAAATCCTATACATTTTTTTAATAGATTAATAAGTCTTAAAATACTTTTTTTTGTCCAAAATACATTTTAAAGATATTGATAGGTGAAAAAATAAATAAGAACACTTGTAAATAAATAAATTTGATCAATAAAATTATCCCGTGACTCAATTTTTCTTTTTATATATATATATTTATTCTAAATTGCGCCAGTGCGATCCCTGCCTGCCCACCCATGATGAACAGCCGAACTTTTTAGAGTTTGGGCAGAGCAGAGAATAAATAGTTTACCAAAATGGAATTTGGAAAATTGTTGTCATGCGTTGAAAATGGAAACAAATAGTTTACCAGAATTGTTTTTGTTTTCGATTTTTAAAATCTGTAAAAACAAAACACATAAAACACAGGGTCCTTCTCTAAGGGGCTTGTATCATATGCAAACTAGCGTATCATTATGCACGGATGAGTAAGAAAAGATAATAAATAATATTAAATATGTTAAAATTAATTAATTATTATGATATTAATTTAGATTGGTGTTTAAATAAAGGGGACTTATGTGCAGGTTTTAAGAAGTGGACTTATAATTAATGATTTTTTCATCAAAGGCTATTAAAAAACATTACTAATTGTTAATTTTCATAGACAATTTGAAAATTGTCACAAAAAATATCACTAATTATATGTTATAATGGCAGTTTAAAAAAATCGTCACAAAAAAGGTCATTAATTTTTAATTTTTAGCGATAATTTAAAAAATTCGTCACAGAAAAACATCATTAATGGTAAGTTTTAGCGACATTTTATAAAAATTATGACAAAAAAGTCACTAATTGTCAATTTTTAGCGACATATATAAAAATTGTCATAAAAAATTATTTTTAGCGACGATTTTTCTAAGATTTATTTTTAATAGAACTTGATGAGAATTAAATCTAAATATTAGTAGTATACCTTTTAAATAATAGATTTGAGTGATTTTACTATGTTTATAGATTTGAGTGATTTCAATTTTTTTTTGAAATACACTCAATTGGCTAAACTCAATTGAAATGAAGAGAAAGAGTGAAATTCTATAAATATAAGATAAAGATAACAAAAAAAAAAATCTAAGTTTAAATTTGAAAAAATAAACTATAAGAATATAGAAAGAAAAATTAGATAAATTCTTGAAAAAAATAAACTCAATTGAAAATCAAGAGTAAAAGTGAATTCTGTAAATATAAAATAAAGATAAAAATCAAGTTTAAATTTGAAGACAAACTATAAAAATATAGAGAGAGAAAATTAAACAAATTTTAAAAAAATGAAGTAGAGAGAAATTCAATAAATATCAAATGAAGGTTGAAAAAAAGAAATTAAGTTAAAATTTAAAAATTAAAAATAAAATAAGATAAATTTAAAATCGTTGCATTCATGTTTTATTTTTGGTTTACAGATTGTTTGGTAGTATAGTTGACGCGTGTTTTAAAGGTTTTTTTTGGAAATACAAAGATTATAGGAGCCGGGAGGTCGGCGATTTGTGAGGAAATATTAAAGGGTTGTAAATCTCACGTCAATCTATCAAAATGTATAACATTTCAATAGAATATTTACTTGTTCATTGGGGATGAATGTTGTCTCTGTTATTCGATTTTGTTTTGGCTGCTACACTCTTTTGGGAGATGAATTTGGGAATTACTTTCTTTTTTTTCCCCCCCCTCTCTCTCTCTCTCAATATATATATATATATATATATTTGGAAACTTTATTGATGAGAAGATATATACAAGCGAAGAAATTACATCAAAATATATAGGATGACTTCCAGTGGAGGATTTTGTTGGGAATGGAGCTTTGAAGGGAATTCTTCCAAAGCTGTTGGAGGAAGGTTGGGACAATGTATGGAACTTGAAACTTATGAAATTAGAAGATATGGATGCAATCAATATGACTCAACAACAAAAGGTATTTTTATTATTACTATCAAACCCTCTCTTCTTCAATTTTCCTCGAGCACACAGTTCTACTTTTGAAAAAAATTATTGTAATTTCATCAAAATCATATCTCTCTTTCTTACATCTGATAGGATGCACTGGAAATGAGGTTGTATCTCTATCATCGCGCTCTAATGCAATACGGAGATAAGCTTGCAAGAATTAACACTTTTGGCAACAAAAAAATTGGTCGCTAAAAGTCTATTTTTGGTCGGCAAAAGTTATCCGCGACCAATTTTTTTTGTCGCTAGTTTGGTCGCCAATTGAGGGTTGGCAAAAGTAATTCGCGACTAAAATTTTCATTAGTCGGGAAAAGTTGCATTTGCCGACTAAATTTTTGGTCGCTAAATATTTATTTACTGCGACTAATCCATTTTGTCGCTAAAACACTTTGGTCGCAAAAAGTTGCCTTTTGCCGACCAAATTTCTTAGTCGCCAATTGTCACATTCCACGACCAAAATTAATTTGGTCGCCAATTGTGACATTTCGCGACCAAAAATTTTGGTCGCCAATTGTGACATTCTGCGACCAAAATTAGTTTGGTCGCCAATTGTGACATTTTGCGACCAAAAATTTTGTTCACCAATTGTGACATTTCGCGACCAAAATTAGTTTGGTCACCAATTGTCGCATTCCGCGACTAAAAATTTTGGTCGCCAATTGTAACATTCTGCGACCAAAATTAGTTTGGTCGCCAATTGTCACATTTGGTCGCCAACATCCAACAAAATAAACCTGTAATTTTTAATAATCCATCCAATTTATTCAATATAATCTGTAATTTGCAAAAATCATTCAAACCAACAAATAAATTGAATCATGAACATTCAACAAAATACATAGATTAACCATTTCTGAACCTGTTTAATTAAAATCAGCAACTATTATAAGTTTTCATCCACAAATAATTCCAAACTACATATTTCATCTAGCATAAAAATTTAAGACATAACAAATACTTGTTATTATGTTTAAAATTTTTATCCATGTACATCAACCGAAAAATATAACTAGTAGTCTACCAAATATTTTTTATACACACCCATCCAAAAATATAATTACTAGTGTATCCAAAAATATAACTACTAGTTTACCATTTTTCTGCCCATATCGAATCTCTAATCTCCTGGACTGATAGTCAGTGCAGTTTGAACAGGAAACAAGTTCTCTGTAAGTGCTGGATGCAGGAAACCATCCTTCCAAATCATACTTCTTCGCAGCTGCATCATTCAAAGCACCGGAAACAATAGCCACAATTTGATAGGGTAGTTTTAGCTGCAATAGAGAGAATTATGTCATATTTGTAGGAAAGAAAAATGCATAATTAAATAGAGAAAAATCAATTCGTCATCAGCAGGAGCCCATATATAGGACCCTCAAATTTCTTTGGCGTCAAGTGGCAGACTTTTTAGCATTAACCAAACAAAACAACCAATTCCAAAATCACTCATCTTTCATGACATTACAAAACCTGGCAAGATAATCTATATGAATACTATAAGAAACATTATCAAGCATCTCCAGATTAAAAAAAAATGAATATAACGAAGAAATAACCAAAAATTATACACATCATTCCCCTACAATTCTGAGGGCAGGAAAGCTCTATACCATCTTTGTAAAACTCTTCTGAGTTCGTTATCATTTCCTCGTGCATGTCCCAAGAGTCATATATGTTAAACCTACTATATGTGATTTAAAACAGTTACGCATATATAAGGTAAAAAAGAAGCATAAAAAAATTAATTTTGTGAACCAAGTGGATCTAATTGGGCTGATCAAAATTTTGTGCCTTGTTAATTGCCTTGTTAAGAGCCTTGTTAATTGCCTTGTTAAGAGTCAAGGAAGATTTCTCCTTCCTGGACTATGACCTCCAACTCACAAAATATATCTATAGAATTGTTTGATCTAAATTCATTCTGAGTGACATTCATTTAGGTCACCCTTAATGAATCTATCACATATTGAATTTGTTTGCCTATATTTCTAAAAAATAAAAAATAAAAATTCCGTGCGCATATGTGAACTTGGGTTGTCATAATAGAATACTTAATAGGAAATGCTAACCATCTCCATTGGACAGTGATTAATGTTCATATATGTGCAAAAATTATATTAACATATATAAAATGGTGATTAATGTTCATATATGTGTAAAAATTATATTAACATATATTAACATATATTTTTTGTTTTTTTATTTTTTGTGGACATTAAACAAAGAACTATAAAGATAAACGTTACAGTCCTAAGATTTTAATTCCCCCAAATTAGAGCTTTGTTCACCACTCAACCCTAACACGCCATATAAAAACAGAAAAACAAAAAGAAAAGATGACGACGGTCATTATGCTTTGTACGGTTTGTTATTATCCTAAATAGGTTTGATTTCAAAATCAAAACCTATTTGGATAAGGATTCAAAATCAAATTTAATGGTCATGCCACATGGGCGCCCATTACTAACAATTTATCATTATAAATGAATACTTATTGTTAAGGAATGACCATTTCAAAAGGACAAGACCAATTCTTGGCCAGCATGAATATATGATATCCAATATACGGACCATTTTTAAAACCCCAACCTTGAGAACCTTAACAATACACAAAACAATCTGAAAACACTAAAATGAACATAAACCACCATTTGCCTATCTTATTTCTTATACCACATGCTTAAAAGAATTCAAAACACTGCTTGCTAAACCAAAAGAGTATTTTGCCCTTACCAAACATGTACAATTTTTTCTCTATTCTATTATATTTATATACCATATATTCATAAGCATGAAGAGAAAAAAGAGATATTTACTCCACTTCTTCAAAGTTCTTTTTAGAGCTCTAGACAGGATGATCTTGAAAAGGAGCTTGGGGGAGATTAACAGTGTGCGGTTTGATGTCTCTACACCGCATGTAAGTCAAGAACTGACCAAGTAGCTCTTCCAATAGACTCTGAACAATTGATATCTGTCCACCTGCAGAAACACATAACAAAATTTACAAGATAAAGTGATAATAGAGGCACAACTGGCAAAAGACTAGAAAAGAAATTACTGGTGCATGGCGAAAACCTCCAAAATGAGAGAGAGAAGAAGAAACAGGTTATATTAGATGTTGGTATGGAAACCTAGCATCTTGTGAATTGCACTAAGGTCCCTTTTAGGAACAGAAATGGAGCTGACTTCCGTCATCATCTGAGTTTCAAAACCCAGTTCAGGTTTCTCCTTTTTACTCTTATGTATCTCATATTTTTTTACAAATAATTTACAAAATTACCTTACATTTTAGTTTTTTGAAAAAATAGGCGCAATACAATATTTCTATATCTTAAATTACATTTATGGCCTGAAGTACCAACAAAAAAACCATACACCCAAAGTATTTTGCCCACCGGATATGTATTTTGCATACGCTTACCCATACCAGGTAACTACCTTGAACTTGTACAACAATATTTAGAAGCACTTCATAAACAAAAATCTTGAGAGGGAATGAGAATCTCATTAATAGTAATATGATTGCTACTAATAAAAATCTTGTGTCATTGCATCAATGCTATTCAAGTATTTGGTTTCATTAGGAATCCTCAATGAGAATAATAAAATTTTAAATATTGTGAGCCCAATTATTATTTTGTACTCTTAAATGGTCAACATTCGTCTAGGAATGTGAGATTTCCCATAGAAAAGTGGGGGAATCAGATTCCTATTAAATTGGGGAGTGTGATACTTGTTGAAATTGATAATTAATAATCATTTTCCCATTTTGATGTGTTCCAAACACTAGAATCATGGGAATCTGGAATAATATTCCCATTCCCCCTCTCAAACTTTGTCATCCAAACCTATCCTAGAGGTGTTCCGAGCTTAACAAAAGAAAATAAATACCAGAAATACTAAACTCTCATGAGCACTAAAAAGCCAATTGTGCTAGATTCCAGTATGTGTCCTGCCCAAATGTGGCCAAAACTCTAAACCAAAATATTCTACAGACTTTGAAATAGTAAATCAAATTAAGTAAGAACTCACCATGTACATCACGCATTGGAACAAACTGTACAATGTCTCGTGTAGCTATCCTCCCTGTAGAACTCTCCAATCGATGTCCATTGTCAGCATCAAGGATCTGTCAAATAATGAGAAATTATACCACACCAAACATTGGAGAGAATTTCTGAGGAACAACATTTCACATTTTCAAGAAACGAGTACGGTACTGTAATTACTAATAGAAAAGAGTCCAGGAGTATGTAATGCAAATAATTTGTTACAGAAAACAAGAATATACCTCCATTTGTTTGAAATCTGCACCACCCACTCCAACAATAAGAATGGATAGGGGTAGATCAGATGCCATCACCAAAGCATCTTTAGTTTCTTGGAGGTCAGTAAGGACTCCATCCTGTAGAATTGTTTCAAAATTATTTTATTGCAAAAATAAAGAATAAGAAAAAAGGAAAAAACAGAAAATGAAAATTTATCATTCACCGTTATAATAAGCAAGACAAAATACTTGCTGCTGTCCTGGGAGAGCGAACGACCAGCTATTTCTGCAGCAGTGTTGATCACTTGACCGAATAAAGTGGGTCCAGCAAGTGCAACGTTCCTCAAAGCACTACCATAAGCAGCCATGATGCCTTCTACTCCTTCAACCTGTAAAAAGAAGACGGAATTGACCATCACCTCTGTATATATAAACGGCAGGCCTCACAGATTTTTATGATTTCATTATGGACAATAGCATCATTATCCACATAAATCAATAGCTGGGAAGAGAAGTGCAAGTAGCATACTGCCACTGAAAATTAAGATTACCTCCCCATGTGTGGGTCTGGTATTACAACATATGAAACATACAAGTCAAAGAAAAATGAAACAGCATGACAAATCTGCTCAACATAGCAATTCAAAAAGTGGTATCCTTTCCTTTAGTCTCTGGCAGCAGATAAAAATGAATATAACATAAGCTTCCCTATTTTTATTTTATTTTTGTTTGTATCTACATAGAGTTACAAAAGATAACAATTGTAAGACAATTTATATGCTAAAGTGAGACAATACTAAATTGTGTTCGAAGCTCTTTTATGTCATTAAAATCATATGTAACAGACAATTTAAATGCTAAAGCAAGACATACTAAATTGTGTTTGGCACTCTTTCATGTCATTCAAATCATGTATAATAGAATCGACATTAAAAACCTAACGCCTTTCTAAATGAATGCGGTCGAGTATATTGTTGATTTCACCACCACATTATTCTCCTCTCTACATGTTAGGACTTGTAATAGACACTTGTTATGAGAAATTAATTTCTTTTATTATATTTTGTCCAAAATAATTTAATTTATAAAAATAAAAAAACACTAGAGGGGATGGCCTTTTTTTATTTATTTATCTGATTCCCATATTTCTAAAGTCTGTATAAATGGTCTGTGTTAAAGTGATATTGACCAGCACAACAGGTCATAAATATTTCCAATTGAATACACCACATAAAATACAGGGACAAAAGTTGATGCCATAACATTTTCACTTCAGAGCTGAATAGTTGAGAACTATGTAAGACGCATGATAAGAACGAAAGAAATAATACTCCAATCCACAATCTCTTTGGTAGGCTGGACACACTAAGGATCTACCTTAACATGAAATTAGAGAAGATATCAAAGAATCTTATTGACGTGTGAAATCAGAGAAGATATCAAAAAACCTCATCAACAAACATGAAATTGATTGCCATAACTTTTCTTCTTACAATAGACATCATATTAACTGCTTCATACCTGCTTCATACCTTCTTTGTTCTGGCTATTACTATTAACTTGAAAAATTAAACAACATAATGACTAGTATACTTGTTGGCCTTCAAAAAACATCCCAATTCATTTATTCTTGAATCAATACCAGAGTTTCAAAAACATTGGTTCACTACACTTGGTTCTTTAGCATAAAAACTGGACTAGCAGTTAATCAAAAAAAGAACAAGGGGAATAAACATAGGAAGACTTTCTGAAGATATAACATCAAGCAGTAATTAAAAGACAAGGACAGTACAATAACTCTTAATTCCTTGCAAAGAGAATTTTACCTCAAAGCCACTTGCACCTCCATTTAAGTTAAAACAATGAGATATAGAACCGTCATATGTTCTTCCACCAAAGCCCCAAGCAGGAAAGCGTCTATCAGAATCATAAAATTGTTAAAAGTGTAACAAGTCCATGCCAAATGGTTTTTGAAGTTGAAGCCTCTCTGTGTCTAGGAGAACGGCTGTTGTAATGATTTGCAGAAGAATCCATAATGGCTGCTCCCCGAGCTTCTTCTGGCGAGATCTAATCTTTTTGATTCGACTTTGTTGCCTCTTGTTCGAGGGCTGCTTCTAAACTGGCCACACGGGCCTCCTCTAACAGTTGTCCGTTGAACGTTCCGAAAGAGTTCGAGGTTCAAAACAAACAGGTCGAATCTTGAGGCTGAGAGCGATCCTAGGCTGCACAATCTCAAGAGCGATTCCCCACAGGTCTTCGGAACCAATCTGGATCAAGCCAGGGTCCTTCTCAGTACTCACGCTAACAAGCATGGTTTCATTCATTAAAGGCTTAGCATGCCTCTCTTTTTCTCAAATTGATCAAAGTTTTACAAAAATCGAGGAATTCCTTCCTCTTTGTTTTCAACGCAGTGTTAAAGAGGTTTTGAAAAACATAGGTCAATGCAATGATTTTCAGGGCACAAGAGAACAGGTGGAATGCATGGCCGTCTGATTCAAATTCTCTGGCACAACTAGCCCAAAACAAACAATAGGCACGGAAACATGATAGCCGCAGCTGTTTCATTCAAGTTTCTCGGATGTAACTGGCTCCACGGCAGAGACAGACTAAAAAAGAAAGCAAAAAGGTTAAATACAAAAATGGTGTTCGAGGCAACAACCCCGGAATCACTCGACATCCTATACAACGAGACTGACTCGGTACTGGCACTCAGGCTCGGTTTTTCTCTCAAAACCCTTTGGCTCGCTTTTTCTCTCAACTTACACCTCCC